CTTAATTCAATTCCATGATAAGCAGACACACCACACAAATGTGAGCATCTTCCTCTCTTCAGACATCGTTGTACTTCAGTCTTTAACAAAGGGTGGACAGACTGACAGTACTGTCATGAACCTACTCGTGCACTCCTTTGGCTACAGCACTTCTTTTATACCATACAGCTGATTGGCTGATTGCATGTGTTTAAGTTCAGGCCTAACTTTAGTTCCCAGCCATTCACATAGCCTTTTTTCATAAAGAATGTCTTTAAGAAAAAAGGCTGTGCTCGCAACTCTCATACCTCTAATCTAGTTACATATGAATACATTATTGTTAAGCACTAGTTTCACTTTCTAAAAGTAAGTTAAACAAGCTAAACAGGAATAAGTTCCATAAACATGGACAAAGAACATTTTATTTTCCTTAGCAACCAAACATTAGATGTTCAGAATTTTTTTTTTTTAAGTATTTATTTTTACTAAATGAGATTCATCAGAATAGTGCGGCTAAACACATCTGAGGTTAGTTGTTGATTTGAGCTGTTTGGAGGAGTCTTTCCTGTGCTTTCATTACATGCCTCCTGCTTCAAATGATTAACGACACGCAGATTCACACTGATTTTTTTTTAGACATTGTCAAATAGTGTCCAGGGTGCTGCTTTGCATCTGGTCCAAATACTTCTGTAGAGAAAAGAACCAAAACAAAAGCAGACTTTTAATACAAAACAACTCTTAATAGTTTGAAACACATAAAACTAAGTGACCTGCTTAAGAAAAGATATACTTACAGCAGGCAGTCATGACACACGTGCTTCACCAAATAATCTGCCATGAACAAAAGAAGCAGCTCGTGAAGCAAATGAAGACTTACACTGTAAATTAAAGTGCAGTTTTCCAGTTATCCGTGATAAATGCAGTGCTTTTCCTAATTTAGGAAAAATCAGAGAATCACCAAAGTTATTACAGTCTGTTATCATGAATAAGTGTGTTTAAAATGCAAATGGTTTTGTTGATATTAAAGGTGAATTAATAAAGTTTTTATAACACATTCTAGGGTCATAGAAGTTAAAGCCGAACATCTTCATAAAGCTTTCAATTCTTACATCTCGACGACATCTGGGTGTCAAGGCGGGCTAAAAGAAAAAATAGACGAGCTTGGCTCCATCGCTGACAACTTGAATAAGGTAAGAAGGTGTGGATATATTTATTGATATATGTACATCTGTGTCCATAGGTTCCCTTTTTAATCATTTTCTTTTTCAGGTTTCAAAGGGGACAAAAATCGCTGGCATCACAGGAGGCGCTACAACTGTAGCAGGAGGTGTGGCAGCAGCTGCTGGGGTGATCCTGTCCCCGTTCACGCTGGGAGCCTCGCTGGCACTAACTGCTGTCGGGGTCGGCGTGGCTGCAGCCGGCGGTGTTACTGGTGCATCAGCAGCCATCGCAAATAAGGTGACGGTCTTTAAGGCACTGGCTTGATTAAATTCTGCTGTTAAAAACAATCACAGCTTTTCTTTATCACTTTCACACTCCAGTGATGCATCTGAGTTTTTGGGCTTCAGTGTCTTGGCCGAGAACACTTCTCCCCACTGTCTAAGTGTTTGCTGTCATAGGGGACCGTTGGAGGTCCAGGACTTCAATCTAAAATGCTGAATGTCTTCTTTTACAATATAAAGTCTCTCAAGATCAAAAGCCCTGTTTTTATGTTATCACAATAAATAAAGGGAACTAACTGGAAACTACCCACACTAGTTATCTGAATTTCTGGTATTGAACTAATTGTGAAGCATGTTTTTCCAGGTGAAATGCAACCAGGACCAGAAGAAAATTGACAAGATCTTTACTGACTACGAGTCTCTCAGTAAGTGCATTCAGGAGAAATTGTTTTATGTTAATGAGGGCATAGAGCAGCTGAGGCAGCATGGTGTGTTCACGCTTGAGAACACAAAGGTGAAGTCAGAGAGGGCCTCCAAGGTGCTGGGGTTCTGTGGTCAAGGAGGTGCATGTGCCACGGCCTTGGAGGCAAACTCTAAGGCGTCTGGGATGATAGAAGGCTTCGCCCTCGGCATGGATATGTACTTCACCAAAGGAAAAGATGGAACCAAGGTGAAGAAGGGCTTTGAGTCAAAGTTGGCAAAGAAACTCCGCTCCTTGATGGTGGATCTCCAGAAAGGACTGGATGAGTTCATCAAAATCAAAGAACTGTTTGAAAAGTATTGTTAGGAGGGTATTTTTCTCCACTTGAATATCTTTTGTTTTGGGGTTGTCTTTTAATGTTAATTTTCAGTTTTTACAAAAGTTTATTGATCGGTGTATATATATTACTTCTTTGGCAACAGGTTTGAAAACAGAACAAAGCTTTTGGTGCAACTTTAGGAATTGGAACTTCAAGCAGTTTCTTTTAAATGGCATGTGGTTATTAATGCTGTATAAAACTGAGATTGTGTTAACCTCCCTTACTTTAGCTGTTTTTTCTTTCAAGATAATCTAACAGCTTAAGCTACGTGTTAAACTGAATCCAATGACATTTTTAAAATAAGACTAATAAATAAAGACTGACGCCATCCACCAGGGGGCAGAGTAGTCCTTCTTTTAAAACATTTCAGCTGATGCTGAGTACACATTTTGAAAATACGTAAACTTTTGACATTCCTAGCTTGACTTTATATGTGGTATAGTTTTACGTATAACATTTAAAAACAATTTACACACAAATGTGAGTGGTTGTTAACTGAAAGCTTAAAATGAAACATTTTGAATGTTCTCCATAAACCTACTCAGGTACCAGACCGGACTGTGGGTCATACAGACCGTATTACAATTACAGAAATGTAGTCAAACTATATCTCAGTGAGATTAAAACGACTACAAAAAACATAGCAAGAGAAACTGGTTTTGGAGAAGCACAAACCAGACCCAGGTGTACTTTCAGAGTCACTGTCCTGCAGCTTGAATCTTTCAGTACTGTCTGCAGAACAAGTTTGATGTTTCCACCCCTATTTCAACTTTGGATGGAGTTTTATTTTTATTTTTATTTTTTATCTATGTTTCCTTTATTGTCATTACTTGCTTATTACACTATGACTGGCTCTAACAAGTGTATCTACAAACAACGCTGAAGATTTCATTCAGATGCCAATTTTGGGTTTTAGGGGGCTGCTCTAATATTTGGCTTCAGCACCATCTTTATCTTCGGTTTGAAAAAAGGAACAGTGCACTTGAGTGACAATCAGCCTTTTATTTACCTCGCTGACTACTTTGACAGTCATTAAATGACTTCCCCATCTAAAATAATATCTTCCCTTTACAAAACCATCCCAACCACATGAAACCTTCATGTAGGGTGAAAAAAATAATTACAAAACCATCCCAACCACATGAAACCTTCATGTACGGTGAAAAAAATAATTATGATGCAATGTATGAAGTGAGACTCCTCGCTCTGCAGTCTGCACAGTCTTGTTCAGTCCAAATAATAGTTACCAGGCTTGTTTGACCAGAGGCTGCTCAAAATGACAAGGGTGTGACCCTACATGTGTTAGACATAAGCAGTGAATCATGTCCGTCTGTATGTGAATAAAATCTAAAATGGGACACGTTGTGATCTAAATTAACTGTCGGCCAGTTAAAACAATAAACATCTTCGCTCCAGTACAATGAATATTATTGCAAAAATGCGATTTGGATGGGGTTTTTTTTACAAACAGTAAAACAGCTAAAGGCCCATAAAATACTCAATACTCAATGTTTACATCCTGGATTTGACCTATATTTTACGTCACAGCAGCCTGTGGATCTACTTTGTCCGTTGTAAAAGCTATGATTCATCCAACCAGTTATAAACATGAGTCAGGCGGAGGGATCGCACTCACAAAAAAGGCTCGTTTGTTTAACTTAACCAGCATAGTCGAGTGGCCACGCTTTTGTTGACGTTATAAATACTGTTGTGAAGACCTCCCACTCGCGCTGCTGGTTTCACAGTGAACAAACGCCCTCGCGCTGGGTGCGGAGTGATATACGCAGTAGTACTTCGTTCCTATATAATCCCCACGCGACGGCTCTACCTGCTCTTCGTTCCTACAGTTCCTAAAGTAAACACACTTTGCGCATAGTAGCTTTAGCGGGCCAAAATGGCAGTGTAGAGGCGTGCGGCAGCTAATCTTGCAGCGGCAACAAACCGGCAGTGCAACGGCTAAGTGCACTGGCTTTTTCTGGCAAAATGGCGTAAGTAATTTTTTTTTATGTTTGCAGTCTTCTAAAGAGAAAAAAATATAGCCACTTCCTGTAGTAACTAACCTGTCAACTAGAATGTGTTACTGGCTATTAAACTTGTTGATCAAGGCTATTTGTTTTTGTAAAAAAAAAAAAACTTTAAGTGTGTTGATTCCTAGTTCCTTGTTTGGAGCTAAGGTATCAAATTACAGTATACCAGCTGAAGTAGACCGAGCCGGCCCCTTACGTTGTGAAACATGCTAACGAGCCGTCGTTTGGGCACGGGAAACATTTCAGACGTCTCATTTGAAGTTGTAATTTTTTTCCATGGCTGCGACACTGTTGTCAGTGTGATACTATAAACATTTTTAGTGTTTTGTATACGTTTCATATTGGCAACGTGGCGTCCAAAATGGCGCGCGCTGTGCTCGTTCCCCGCCTCGCGCAGATGGCTCTGTTGTGAAAATGGCGGTTTGCCCTCCCACATCTCCGCCGTGACTCATAGGCGTGGGTGGAGTTACCAGCCAATGCATGACCAAATTAGGCAAAGTTATCCCCCGGTGTAGGGCGGAGTTTCCCATCAATACAGCTTTGACGCTTAACCGGAACGGATTAGCCAAAATTAGATACAACCCCCCCCTCCCCCATAACGGGGATGTCAACTCCTCTAATGACCCTAGTACAGGGGTGTCAAACTCAAATTCACAGTGGGCCAAAATTCAAAACTGGAACAAGGTCGCGGGCTAACATTAATATTTATTGGAAAAAAAATCTTCCTCCAGATTTAAGAATGAATCTCTTCGTATGGACTCAAACAAGTTTTGCTGAAAAACTGAATATGGAACAAGCAAAGCTTAATACTAAACAATATATATATTAGCTGTATAATACCAGTAGGCCAGCTCTAATAATAATTTGGTATGGCTTCGCGGGCCAAATGTAATTAGGCTGCGGGCCAAATTTGGCCCAGAGTTTGACAGCTATGCCCTAGTACATACCACCAAAGAAGCCTACATTGTCTGTACAATGTTGTCAGTCAACAATATGCTTGTTTCAGGAAGTACACCTGCTCTGGGGAAACTTTGCATTTACAAATAAACTTGGCCCTGCCGAACATTGAATTTTCATAAAGTTTGAATATATCGTTTCACAACTTCCTGCAATAAAATGTGTCACTTCATTTTAGTTTCCATGAGAATCAAGACTTACATTTGCGTATATTCCTTATTTTTCCTCCCATTAACATGATTTCTGTTTTCTCCCCTCCAACCAGGTCTCTCCCGGCAACCACCTTCAGCTTTGCTGCCGCCGACAGCATACCTGGACCTCTCGACTCACCTTTGTTCTTGTACACCTTTTCACGGCTACCACTGACCAGCAGCAGCCATGACCCTCTCCCAGCTAGCCCTGGAGGACGTGGAGGCCCTGTACTTAGGTGTGTGTTGTGATGATACATATTGCCAGAGCACTAGTACAAACACTGCTGAATGTGCTGCTTTGTTTGCATAACATTTGGTAATAATAATACCATTCCCAACAATTCTAAAGCCAATGAAGTACAGTTCCATATGGTCAGCATGGAATTATCTGTAGATGGGTTAGATGTTTTAGTGAGTTATTGAATGAATGACAGATTGTATGTATTGGATGCCCAAAATTAGAAATTGACGCGCTGATCTTTTGTTCTCAGGGCCCTCCTTTCTGATGGCTGACCCCATGGGGCCCCTTCTGGACCAAGATGAAGAAGAAGCTCTTTCTCCCTCCTCCCTAGAGGGGAAGGCGCCAGCTTCGCCCTCCCTTTCTTTGTCCACTTATCCATCCTCCTCGTCCCCTTATCAGACTATGTCTTTCTCCCCGCTGTCTTTGTCCTCCCCATCTCCCTCTCCCACCCATTGTTCCTCGTTCCTGGGAACCAAGGCCGGAGCGGACTCGCTGTCCCTCTCTTGGCTGGGTGCCGGCGACCTGCTCGACGCCCATGTTGGAGCAGATGATGGCAAAGGTGAGCGTGCTTTAAAATACATGTTTAATGAGCAGGGGCAAGTCCTAAATTTTAAAAATTATTTTTCAAAAGGAAATAATTTGACTACTTGTTGAGCTGATTAGAAACCAAATAAAAGAAATGATGGGAGATTACTAATTGGAGTATGTTTAGGACCAAACTACATCTTCCACTCTCATTAGACTGAAGTTGGGAGTATTTCTTGTGCTGTGAGTATTTCAGAGGAGAGGCCCGCTGGCAGTTAAGTATTTGAGGTTTGCTTGCAGGCTGAGACCTGACGTTAAGACCGTGGGTGAGAAACCTCGATGTTTGTAGGGCAACAAACATTTATTGGTTTGTGAGTGGCGGGTGTGGCTCACAGTTGTGCTGTAATGACCGGCTCTATCTAGTTTTGTTAGACGTCATTGTGAAATGACACATTTAGCCCTTTGTTCTTCCTGACATCAGTTAAAGGTGTAAAAGTCCTTGTTTTATGGATTTAGTCTCACTTGAGTATTTCTGAGACGAGGGAGAGATCAAATTTACGCCTGAGGTCATGTGTTGAATACGGTTGGATCACAACATTTCAAGAATTTGATGTATAAAAAATAAACACTGTATGTTTTGTTGATGCTTGCAGCCAGCA